ACCGCTTTGCCAGCTGGTCCGTTTGGAGGAGCATCCAAGACAAGCACTCCACTTAACCCAAGCTGCTCTACAGATTGATCAGGGGCAAATTTTATTCCCAAAATAGGTCTTGTCACCTTGCCAAATTTTATAAGTTGGTCCACAATGCCCCCAACCTGAAAATAGGTATTATTTGTGTCGTTGTCAAAGCATGTGAGTTAACTGCAAGGAAGAATGAAACCAAACTAAAATGAATTTTGGAACTGACTTGAGTGAACTGCTACTGTCAACAGATTTTTAGAAAACAGAGTTGAAAATGTACATACTGTATCAACTGGAATGGAAAACCCAACACCAGATGATGCTCCTGAGGGCGAGTATATAGCAGTGTTTACACCTATCAAGTTTCCAGAACTATCAAGAAGTGGACCACCACTGTTACCAGGGTTGATAGCAGCATCAGTCTGTATCACATCTTGTATAGGACGTCCTGTGGCAGCTGAACTGATTTCTCGACGCAATCCACTAGGGGCATCAGCAGAAACAGTAAAACAGAGTCTCAGTGCATTCCGATATGAATCAGAGAAAGATGAATCAGCTTAACAAACAATGTTCTACCTGATAACACCTGTTGTAAGAGTGTGGTCAAGGCCAAACTGCAAACACAAAAAAGTAATAAATGTTTAAGACTATGGGTAAATTGGTAATAAGTCTGCAGCGTATTAACAATCGAGAGAACTCGCCCTTGTTATTGAAGTTCAATAATTTTCCTAGCAAAGCTAAGATCATATCTTTCCGCATTGGAATTGTGTCAAACTTTGATCTGTGGAGCCGCGAACAAAAAACGATGCACATCATTTTTTTTATGATCACATTAATGTTTGCTGTAACTCTAGTATGTTATTACCTTTAAACACTACCTAACAACATATTCATGAAACAAGAACAGCAGCTGGCCTTTGCAAATGTTTATCATGGATCAAGAATTCAAGGTTAAAATAAGAAAAAATTTCAGGAATCCTAGTAGCAAGTACATAAAAGTAAGAGCACCAACCAAAGGCTTTAAGATACCACATCTATCTCTAACTTCTAAGGTACAAATCAACCATGCTGTACACATAATCTCATTATATTATAAGCAACACAACAAGAAGAAAGGTGTTTTTAGCACTCACTGGGTTTCCAATGGCATATACTTTCTGACCAACCAGTAGGTCTGCTGACATACCAACAGGTATAGGTCTTAGTTTATCCTTCGGTGCTTTGATACGCAAAACAGCAACATCCTTGTCCTGGTCAAATCCAACAACTTGCGCTTCATACACTGACTGATCAGCAAGTGTGACCCTGCATAAAACTATCAGTTGTAACTTCATTTCGCCATTATATATCTATAGGCATCATTGACATCTAAAAGTCATCGAAAAAAAATATATAAACACGTATGGATGTTTTGCATTCGTGTATCTGACCATGTGGAGATCTAGCAGTGAGATGGGCACAACTGCAGAGCATTGCCAACTAACACAAAAACGTGGTTAGCAAAAGTCAGAAGTTTATGCCATTGCTAGCCTGAAGAATTAGTTCTTTTGCATTAAAATACTCAAAGTGTAGCATTAAGTTTCACTTCTTGAAATTGGGATGCAAGGAACTTCTAGAGAAAGTAGTATCTTTTCTAAAACTTTGTGTAATGCAGAGACATTCCATAACTTCTAACAACCAGATAGTGAAGCTGTTGAACAAGTGTCATGTTGCTTCCGCTACACTAAAATATCGGCCTTTTCGACATACTACTTTTGCTCCGACCAGGTCTTCTAGGGAGCCAAATTGATAATGAACCATTACAGATGGGCCCTGTGCCCCTGTTTGTAGTTTGCTGGAGTGTTGTCAATCAGTAATTGCGCTGCTCCAGCTTACCAATAACACATTGCAGCAGCAGCACCACAACTCCTTTCCCCCCACTCTGTCCACTTGAAATTATTGGAAGGCTAGAGCATATTTTAATGAAACACCAGCGACCGTAACCTTTAATACTAGAATTGACAAGCTTTGATGTTTGATCTGAACACAACCAATCGGCTAAGGAAGCGTAGTAGGAAAGCAATCCAGCCGTCCGAACCAACCTGAGGTCTGACGCGCCACGGATGACATGGAAATTGGTGACGATGTGGCCGCTCTTATCCCAGACAAAGCCCGACCCGGACCCCTGTGGCACCTCCAGCACGTCGAGCGTGAACGCGTCCTGCCTGCACACGCAGCACGCGTAAGAGATTAGAGCATCCTCTAGCCTCTGATTGCAATCCGGAGGAGCTGAGGGCTCCCGAGTTCAGACACACAACGCAGAGGCAAGGAACGGGGACGGGGAGGCCCACCTGACGGCGAGGTTGGTGATGTAGACGACGGAGGGCGTGTTCTCCTGGAAGAGGCGCACGGTGGCGAGCTCGTCCGCCTGCAGCTTCCGGGGCGTGGAGACCACGAACGCGGATGCCGCGCCGGCGTCGCCGAGGACCAGCGACGCGGAGGCAAGCGCCACGATGAGGGAGCCCGCGGCCGACGACAGCAGCCGCCCCGCGGCCTCGGCGGGGACTAGCTCGCGGAGCCGCCGTAGCCGCGCCCACGGCCACGGCGAGGGGAGGGCGAGCGAGGAGGCGGAGGCGGGCGCGGGCTTGGTGGCCGCGGCGCGCGCGAGGTGCCTGAGGAAATGACGCGGGCGGCGTGGCGGCGGGAGCGGGGAGAGGAAGCAGGCCGTGGCGGAGGACGCGGTGGCGGCGGCGGCGGCGGCCATCGGGGCTGCTGTTGCTTGCGTTGTGCGCGCGGGGGGCAGGACAGTGGAGCGAGCGCAGCCGCCCGCGGCCGGGGGTGTTTGGACGATGAGTGGATGCGCTGCGTTGCTGCTGCCTGGTGCAGTGCCACTGCTTGCCTGGCGCTTTCCTACTGGCTGCTGGCTCGTCTCGCTTCTTCTCGGCTCGTGTATTTCGTTTCGTGCTCCGTCGTCTCCCAATGGTCCATGATGCATGATTAATTAACCATTGCTGGATGCTTCTCGAGTCCTCAAGCTTTGTATGTGTAGTTATTACATGAGTCACTGTGGAATTGGTAACATCGATGAGTATCACTGTGGATGAAGGATCAATTTATTATAGTTCCAAATTTGTAATCTGTAAAGTAATAGAAGGGCATCTTTTAGGATATTATTGATGGTTGTGCCGATTATTTTTGCAAGTTCACTGTGTGTAATCTTCAGAGTGCAGACTCGATGCACACGATCTCCGTGAGTGAGTGAATCTGAGTCCTATTGTTTGTGTACAGCTGGATCAGTAAGAAGTGACAAAAGGATGGATTAACAAAGCATATGACTCCATTACACCACCACTGGTTCACCAAATGCCCCAAATAATTCCGTGTCAATTTTAGCATGCAAGAGTGCCCCTTGCCGTTTTCTTTCCTATTTTCACCGTGCTTTCTAAATTAGCCAACCAAAATACAAATTTGATAAACCAAATTAAACAAACAGAGCAAAACGAGCTGATGAAGTAGAAATACTGATGAACTGACAATAACTAAGCAAATAAGCAGGAACCAGGAAGTAGCAATGCCCGCGGGCCAACGACACTTATGGCTTGTTTGTCTCGAGCCCTGGCCTAGGAGCTCTAGCTCGGACAGGCGCATCTAAACCCAGATAGTCAAAGTCATGATTGCTTCTTTTATAATCCGTACTTTTCAACTTGTTTTTTTCAACGAAACGAACGGGACCAAAATTGGACAGATGCCTGGACCAGGCAAGATTCCCAGGTCTGCATCCAAACAACCCTTTACTTGTTGAGTATTCAGGTGGAAGTAGAGTGGCCATGTTCGGTATTCGTTAATTCGTGCCTTGTCCGTTTGACGGCTGATGTGCGCATGGTGACCGGGAGGGTTGGGAACGCACATGAGCCCAAAATATTTAGAGCTTGTGAAAAGTATACTTAGAAGCTTTCATAAAATAGATTTAACTCTAGAAAAATGAGAAAATATTTAAAAATCTAGAAAAAACCCTAAAATATTATAGTCAATGTCTAAACATGCTTTATAAAATTTCTACAAAAAAAAAGAAGAAATGCAATAGACGTTAATGCTGAATTCATTAATGATGGTTGCATCTCGTGTTTTTGTTGTGAATTTTTTTTCAGAATGAAATTAGACATAGATTTTATTTTTTAATAAATTTTTAGTTTTTTTGGATATTTTTCCATTTTTAGTGCTAAATCAAAATTTAAGAAGAATATTTTTATAAGATCTAAATATTTTATTTGAGTTGATCATGTCCCAACCTATCCCTAAAGTTTTCTTATAGTTTTTATAAGCCTTAGAGACATTTTTTGGGGTTTAAAAACTTTATTAGGTGTTTAGCGATATCTTTTTAAGAAAAGGATAAAACCACTGCTAATCAACTTAATGAAAATTTAATTGGTTTAATTTGATCTAGACCGAAAATTGTCTCTCTTTTCTTCAGTTCAGAAATGCCTTTTTGAGCATGCAAATGTCTCCGGTTTTGAACTTAACTGGACTGATTTGCGCCTTTCCCGTCGTTGCTAAACACTGCCACAGCCAGTCGAGCAGAGCGGCAGCGACGTCGGCGGCGAGCATGTGCGAGGCTGCGACGGCGAGGAGCTGCCCAGCTCCAGCTCTAATTCGCCTGTGCGCAAAACGAGCATTTGCGGTGCGGGACGCAGCGGTGGCATCAAGACATCCCCAGTGGCCCGGGATACGGTGGCGGCGCGGCGACCACGTGCGAGGCGGCGGCGGGTAAACGACACATCTCTATCTCCACATCTCTGGCGCAGCACGCATTCGTCTTGTTAGCCATTCGATCTGTCAAACCTGCGATGAGGATCGTTGGATCTCATAACGAACCGTTGGCCGGAGGCCCCTCGCAGGCCGCTGCTAGCCCGATCCCCACCACTTTTTGGTGGCCACCCGCGCCGGCTTCTCCTTCCGCTTCCGGCCTCCGCCTCGCCTCGTGTCTCGTCTCCGATTCCGCGATGGTAACCTACCATCCCTCCCTCTCCCTGCTCCGCCCATCCGTCCTCACCGCCCGGGCCAGCGTCATCGGCCGGTGCCCAACACCCAACGCCTTCGTGTCCACCCCCGTCGTCTCTGCGGTGCCCCTTCGCCTGCGGCCTCTGCGCGCCGCCGCCGGTGGAGCAGCCTCGCCGGTAACGTCCAAACCGAGACCCCTCGCCTCAAGCTACACGCTCCTCGCTACTCCTAGGGGTATGCTTCGGTCGAGTTGTAAATGCCTGCTTGCTCGGTTGCTCCGCAGGTCGGTGGCGATAATGGAGGCAAACGCGCGGTTCCGCCTTCCGCGCTGCTCGACTTCGCGCGTAGCAACTTCCTCCCGCTTGGTGAGTTCCCGCTTCTACGCGATCCCAGCTGATGCTTAATCGCGTATCGATGGGCGAGTTCGTACTGCTGTTTGTGTATGTAAAATGCGATGCTTGTCTGCTTATATATCAGGGGAAAAAAAAGTGACGCTTGTCTATTGTGGAGTTGGTGGACTTTTGTACTTCATGGCCCAATATAGGCACAATTGACAATGGTTTAATGCACTTATTAGCTCCAAATTCCAAATAGCATTTGCATCTGCGCCATCCTGAAATTTTACTATAGACAGCTGAAACACAGTGGGGTAGGGATAGGTGGGTTTATTTCTCGAATGCAGAAAGTTTCGGTGTAAATCAAGGATGATCTGATTTTAAAAGATTGAAGTTGATGTATAGAGATTAGTATGTGTTGTTATGGAAACATCCGGAAGTCTCACTCTTTCTGTTTTCTAAGTACACATACAAATATACATCAATATGGGCCTCTTGGGTCTAAACCAATACATACAACCCATATACAGCTCAACACTTCCCCTCAAGATGGGCGATAAATATCAATCATGCCCATCTTGTTACAAGCTGATATACATTCTTTAACTCCTAACCCTTTTGTTAAACAATCTGCTACTTGCTCACCCGAAGCTATATGACTCAATTTGAGTGTTCCATTGTCGAGTTTCTCCTTGATGAAAAAGCGATCAATCTCCACATGCTTGGTTCTGTCATGCTGAACTGGATTATTAGCAATATTAATCGCTGATCTATTATCACACCAAAGATTCATGGGACCTTTCCCTAGCTTCAACTCAGACAACAAGTTCGTCACCCATAACATCTCACTTAGACACACAGACATGGCTCTATATTCTGCCTCTGCCGTTGATCGAGACACCACTGGCTGCTTTTTGCTCCTCCATGATACTAGATTTCCTCCAACAAAGATGCAATAGCCAAACGTCGACCTCCTGTCATCTAGACAGCTTGCCCAATCCGCATCACAATAGCCTTCCACATTTAGGTGATTATTTTTCTTGAACCATAATCCTTTCCCAGGACTACTCTTCAAATACCTCAAGATTCTATAGACTGCATCCATATGTCCACTCCTAGGATCATGCATATACCTGCTTACCACACTTACTGCATATGTTATATCAGGCCTTGTATGGCATAAATAAATCAAGCGTCCCACAAGTCTTTGATATTTCTCTTTATCTATTGGCTGTCCAGATTGAGCACACAACTTGTGGTTTTGCTCGATAGGTGTAGAAGCAGGGTGACATCCAAGCATACCTGTATCATTTAGCAAATCAAGAACATACTTTCGTTGTGAAAGGACAATTCCTCTAGCAGATCTTGCTATCTCAATGCCTAGAAAGTATCGAAGTTGACCCAAATCCTTGACCTCAAACTCTTTGCTTAGGTTTTCCTTAAGTCGAGCTATTTCCAAAGTGTCATCACCGGTAATAATAATATCATCAACATACACTGCAAGAATAGTAATACGATTTCCAGAGTGATGATAAAACAGGGTGTGATCACCATTACACTGCCTGTAGCCCATACCACACATTGCACGCCTGAATCGATCAAACCATGCCCTTTGCGACTGTTTTAGACCATACAAAGATTTCTTCAGTCTCAATACTTTTCCTTTGGTTTGTGCGGTAGCAAACCCAGGTGGGATTTCCATATAAACTTCTTCATGAAGATCTCCATGCAAAAATGCATTCTTGACATCCAATTGGTACAATGGCCAATCAAAATTAGCTGCACAAGAGATTAGTGTCCTCACCGTGCTCATCTTTGCAACCGGCGCAAATGTCTCGTCGTAGTCAATTCCATAAGTTTGGCTATATCCTTTTGCCACCAGTCTTGCCTTATACCTCTCTATCTTACCATCAGGATTTTGCTTCACTGTGTAAACCCATTTGCAGCTAACTATCTTCTTTCCCATAGGAGAGGGTACAAGTTCCCATGTCTTCTTCTTCTCAAGTGCTGCTAACTCCTCGAGCATGGCATTACGCCACTTAGGATCTAGTTTTGCTTCTTTCCAATCTTTAGGGATTTTTGTGGATTGTAATGATGCAATAAATGCTCTATATGTGGGAGACAATGATTCATATGAGACATAATTACTTATATCATGCTGAAACCCATATCTTGTTGGAGGTTTTCTAGCTGTACTCCTTGCTTCCTTTCTTAAAGCAATAGGCAGGTTAATAGAAGGTTCGACCTCTTCTCCCCCTGTTTCTGTAGAGCGTTCGACCTCTTCTCCCCCTGTTTCTATAGACCGATCAACCTCAGTACCAGTAACATCAACATCTAAACACTCTGGTTGCTCCTCTTGCTGCTCTACCAATTGTGGTTGCTCAACTTGCTGGTGTACTGGCTGCACTTCAACTGTCTTCTTTCTTCTAGTATAAACTCGAAGAGTACCTTGTTCTTGCCTTGCATGTATATTTATATTGCCCATATTTTCTTGCCTCTCATTTACTTGGGCATTACCCACATTGTATGGAATCAATCCTGTGATAGTTTCTGATCCCCTTGATTGATTTTCTTCCTTGTCTTGTGGCACATCTATGTCATCCTCCCCCTCTTGACCATCCTCACTACTTTGACCATTAAGCTCAAACAAGGAACTCAAATCAGTCTTCTCCCCATAATAGGGTTCAGATTCTCGAAATGTCACGTCCATACTTACAAATAGTCGTCTTTCAGTGGGACACCAACAAGTATATCCCTTTCTACTTGATGAGTACCCCACAAATATACACTTAACTGCTCGAAGGCCTATGATCCCTGACAAAGCAAGTGCATCCAAATACCTTTGGTGGAACAATAAATTCATTCTTTCCTTGCAACATTTCAAAAGGAGTTTTCCAACCAAGCAATCTTGAAGGCATACAATTAATCAAATATACCGCCGTCATCACTGGCTCACTCCATAGGAACTTCGGCACATTCATGGTAAACATAAGTGAACGTGCAACCTCCAAGATATGACGGTTTTTTCTTTTAGCTACTCCATTTTGTGGAGGTGTATCAGGACACGTGGTTTGGTGCAATATTCCCTTGGTTGATAGAAAATTGACAAACTCATTGTTCACATATTCTATTCCATTGTCTGTCCTCAATACTTTAACTTGAGCATCATATTGATTCCCAATAAATGAACAGAAATCCCAAAAACATTTAAGTACTTCACTCTTGTGCTTCATGAGATATATCCAAGTCACCTACGAATAACAATCAATAAAAGTAACAAAGTACCTCATTCCACTAAATGAGGTGATCGGGCATGTCCACACATCAGGGTGCACAAGCATAAATGGAGATAAGCTCCTTAGACCCCTGCTTACATATGTCGATCTTGTATGCTTTCCATATTCACATGCATCACACACAAGCTTTCTCCTGTCCACCTTCCTCATCATCTCTGGGAACACTTTTACCATAGTATCAAATGATAAATGGCCTAATCGACAATGTTGGAGCATCACTTTAGCTTCATCTTCATTCATACTTGCTGTCAGTGCAGTGCCCAAGAACTTGTCATCTTTCTTTCGGTCTAGGAACCATAGCCCACCGTACCTAATGCCAATTCCAAGTTCTTTTCCAGTCTTCTTGTCCTCAATGATGCAATTTTCCCGATCAAAAGAAACCTGACAGTCCATTTGATCAACTAAAGCACTTAATGATAGTAGGTTAACTGGAAAGGAGGGGACATGCAAAACCGATGACAGTGTAATTGATGGAGAGCATTTTACTGAACCAACACCTTTAATAGGTTGGCATGTTCCATCAGCTGTTTGAATAGTCTCACTATGTGTGGATGGATATGCACTATATGATTCAAACTCACTAGATGCACCCGTGACATGTCTAGATGCACCTGAATCAAGTATCCAATTTGCATATGTACCTTTGTCAGGACGAGCGAGATTGATGAGATTGCCGAGCATAGTTGCCTTTTTATTTTCCTTTGGAAACTCGCTCCCCCTTGAGCTTCCTTGCAATTGTTCCATCTTCTCCTTCACATTTGACTCTTCTGTAGCTGACATTAGTTCAGAAGTCCTCGCCAAAAATAATTGAGCCAGCTTCACAAGTTCCTTAACGGTGAGGATTTCAGCCAACTTCTCAAACATATGCTCAATCCTTCCACTTTCTGCCATTACTTAGTTGCTGCTATCACCACACTTCACCTCCTCTTCCTCAAGCACTCAAACCTTCACTAGCTAGCAGCAGCTCTACTACAGAAGCTCGATTTTGGAGCACAACTACAATATGCTCCAACACAGCTGCTCTCTTTCTTCCCAGAAACCAGGAAGAAATACCAAATCCACAGGACGACAACAATTTCTTGCTTATTCTCCCTCACGGTGCTCTCCTCTATTTTCCCCAAATCAGAAGGAAGCACCAAATCCACCCAGGATTACTTTCAATTGCAGTCCTGCCGCTGCCAAGCAGTAAACTGTCACCAAATTTCTCTCCTATTAGCAAATCCAGCGCCTTTCTTCAGTCCCTGCTACAATCCTCCTCCTTTACCGCTCCCAATCAGTACACAACCGCAGTGCCTCCCTGTCTACTCTCGAGCAAGCAAGCCACCACCAGAACCACCACTCTTTATCTCCCTTCAATCCACAGCTCGAGCTTCCCTTCTTTCTGATGCAGAGCACTCGAAAATCACAGACTTGCGGCAGCTCTTTCTTCACTGCGCAGCAGCCCACTCCACCTCAAACTGCAGGAGTTGCTCCCAATACTCACCACTGTCTTCCTCCTTGCAGCACCACCGCTCGATTTGGAAGCTCCTCTCGCCTATTCCAATCAGCTCCGCCACGGCCCTTCTTGCCTGCTCACGCACACGCCGTTCCCTCGGACAACAGGGGCCTGCGCCTCCTCTCGGGCTTGAGCTCGCGCGGCGGCCTCCTCCTCCACCTGATCAGCTTGCTTCTCTGCCTCTTTCACGCCTCTCCGCCAGCCACCGTCAGGCCGACGAGGTAGAGCAGGTGGTCGCTTCCGCCATCCCCCAGGACAGCTCCGACACCATGTTGTTATGGAAATATCTGGAAGTCTCACTCTTTCTGTTTTCTTAGTACACATATAAATATACATCAATATGGGACTCTTGGGCCTGAACCAATACATACAACCCATAAACAGCTCAACAGTATGTCTACAATTGGTTTTCACAATATTGCTATGTACTCCCTCCGTCCCAAAAAAGAGTGTCGTTTTTTACTTTCAGACATCTTGTTTGATCATCCGTCTTATTCAAATTTTTTATATAAATATCATATATTTTTTTATGACTTATTTTATCATTAAAGATACTTTAATAATAATTTATTTATTTTATAATTTACATAAAAATTTTGAATAAGATGAACGGTCGATGTCTGAAAGTAAAAAACGTCACTCTTTTTGGATGGAGAGAGTAGTTGACAAGAGCATGCAAATGTCTCCGTTTTTTTTAAACAAAAAATGTCTCCGGTTTTGTACTTACGTGGACTGATTTGCATTTTTCCCATTGTTAAGCTCTCATTAGTGGGGTCATACTCGGTCTCCTAGATCCTACTCTTGGATGCCTTGCTCACGAATACTCCCTGTCGAAGTTCAGCACTTTTGGGATATTCGTTATGTCAGGTTTGGTTGCTAAACCTATTCGTGTGAATCCTTGTGCTGTTACTTCTGTAAGCTAATAGCTTCCTATTGGCTTCATAGGACTGACCCTGCGAACTAAGGAGCTTGGTACAGCATTAGAAGCTTGGCCTGCTGGATTATATGGACTAGTATGACCTTATGTTTATTCTGTGGCTGTCGGACTTGCATGCTCTAATACTGTTCTTTGGTCATAACTGTAAATATGTTGAACGAAGTGCTCAATCCCGTTTTGAACCAAGATATAATTTCAGGAAATTCCATAGCATTTATTTGTTTACCAGGAGTAATAATTGCCTTTCTGGTTGTTTCTGGAGATGCCAATTCCCTACTTCTATTGGTCATTCAAGCACCCTCAATAAGTTTGCTAACATCTTATTTTACTGTGTATAATTCCAGGGATCTATTTTGCTGCTTACACCCTTTGTTTCTCAATTTATCATGCAAGTTCAGTTCTTCCCTCGTGAATTTATCACTGGTAAATGGGTCAAGCACATGTATGCTTTTCTGATGGATTTCTGTTCTCATTCTGTCATTTCTTATTGCCATGAGGTTTTACCTCATACATCTGTGCTCCTAGTACCTTGTATGTTTGACATATTTTGCATCTTACAGGATTAGCTATATTTTGCTGCATGCCAACAACATTATCAAGTGGAGTCATACTAACACAGGTACTACTTGTCCCCAAGTATCTACTAACATTTAATACTACACATAGTTTCTTATATGGCTAGACTAGCATTACAATCTAATATATCTTTAATTTTCTACTATGCAGCTTGTTGGTGGTAATTCTGCACTTGCTCTTGCAATGACAGTTGCATCCAATTTACTTGGCATTATAATTGTAAGCAAGGCTTTACTGTATTTTTTTATTTATGTGCAAATGGCATCAGTGACTAGGCAAATCCACTCAATATGAAATTATAGGCTTAGCTTGGTTGTTTATAGTGACGCAGCTTTGATCCAAAGTCATTGAACCTAAAATGCTGATGGATCCATAGCAAGGTGTTACTTTTTATTGTCTTCCAAGCTGAGTTTGATTGAAATCATGTGTTTCTTTTTTGTTTTACATGTCAAGTGATTATCCACTGACATGATAGTTTCTTAAATATAATCCATCAGTCCCAAACGTGTAAAGGAATTGGATTATTGATAAAAAAAAATGCACTGTAATGAGTCTCTTCTGTTAAGCTTGGCATGGACATGTTCTGTTCCAGATGTTTCGTTGTATTCATCTGAGTTTAGACTGGTTATTCACATTAGGCCTCCTAATCTCTGCGTGAGTCAAATAGTAGTAATATAAGTTAACTGCGGCCTGAACCCAAGACCACCCACTGTTTAGGGGCATCTCGTTTCATTAGGACAAGGCTTTGGCCTATAATTACTCCATTAATATGTCATTTATGTAATACAAAATCATAATCATAAGTATTTTTTAATTGGAATCTGGTAACATCAATTTGGTGCCAGAAAGTTATGTATTAAACTATTAATAAAGTAATTACTGGTCAAAAGCTTGTCCTAACGAAACAAAACGCACCTTGTAATTTCAAATGGAGGATGTGTAGATTATAAGCCTGCCTAGTTTTCTATGTAAACTAACTTTTCGAAAGGCAAAAAACCATTTCTATTCTGTGCAATCAGGTCATTCTTCTTTGTGATCATGGATTAGGTACCTCTTTCTCTTGCAAGATATATTGGCACTGGAGCTGGGGTGTCTTTGCCTACTGAGAAGTTATTTAGAAGTCTGGTCACCAGACTTCTAATCCCTCTTATTATAGGGAAGGTATGTGATTATTCATATCTTTGTACTCCACACTGCATCTCCTTGTTTCATCTCGATACAATAGGATTGCACCCATTATGCGCAGACATCCTTTCAGTTTAATATTTGGCAGTGAAAAACAAGAGGGCTCATTCTAAGTTTCTTGTAACTGCCTTTCATGATTAATATAGTCTGGTAAACATGATTTGTGTGGTGGCAGTTTAGGAGTACAGTTTTGGCGAAGTCTGCATTTTCCTTTAGTAGAATGTGAACTGAATCTTCTGACTAGGATATGCAAAGAATAACCAGAATAGTTTTTAGTTTGAACTAATCTATTTTAAGTGCTTGATAATGCTTTTCTGTTTTTAACTTTGGATTACACATTGAATTTACCATCCCTCCCTATGTCTGTCTTAGGCCTTGTTTAGTTCGTCCCCCTAAAATTTAATCCTCCTATCCCATCGAATGTTTGGACACATGCATGGAGTATTAAATATAGACTAAAAAATTAATTAATTGTACAGTTTGCGACTAATTTGCGAGACGAATCTTTTAAGCCTAATTAGTCCATGATTTGACAACGTGGTGCTACAGTAACACATGCTAATGACGGATTGATTAGGCTTAATAAATTCGTCTCGCGGATTACTGATGGATTCTGTAATTTGTTTTTTTATTAGTATCCGAACACCCCATGCGACACCCTCATGTGACACCCAATGTGACACTCCAAAACTTTACACCCTGGATTTAAACAAGGCCTTAATACTATAGTGCAAGCCTGAAATAACTGAAGCTTCCCGGAGATACTCATGATGATTCATTCTTTGTCAGGTTGCTCGAGAAGCCTCAAAAGGTGTGCAGAATTTAATACCTTCCATTTATTGACAGTCTCTCCCCTCCAGGTTATGAATATTAATTGCCTTTCGTGTATCTCTTATGTAGGTATTGCTGATTTTGTTGATAGAAACCAACAAGGATTTTCAGTTGGAAATGCAGTTCTTCTCAGCCTAGTATATCTCTAATCCGAAACATAAGTCAGTTGACATGTTCTTTACTTGCATGACTAGTCATCATTTGGCAAGTACATTTGTTTATTTTATTGGACTGTTATATTCTACACAATCAGGTAATAGAACTGCGTCCAGCGATGCTAACTTGAGCTTACAAAAAATAAAATAAAATTTATATATGCTTGGTTTATTGGTTGTTTCAGGTGCTCTATTTATTATGCTGCTTCTGTAGAAAATGTTGGTTGTAGACCTGTAGTCAGGCTAATTCATAGAGTGAAGAATTGTTTTCGTTTTTGATATATCAGTAATATCTGGCTCCCTTGATTCGTCCTTCAACATGTCATGTTTTTGGGTTCATATGTAGTGTTTCCAAGGCAATTAGCCAGCTCCTTTTGGAGAAGCAAGGACAAGAGTGCAACTTAGTAGCTATGCATTCATAGACGTATCCTTATTGAAGTTGAGCATTAGCAAGTGCTGAGTGGGCTCTGCGTTGATCCAACCGTATAACAAGAACACTACAGAAGTCAACCTTCAAGTTCAAATAGAGCAAAACTGAGAATATTTTGGTTTGGGAGAAAGATTTTTGGAGTTGCTCTTTAGATTATGTTGCTTTGCAGTTTGTGTTCAATATATTACAAATTTGCATGTCTCTGATGTTTGGACTTCAGTTCTGAAACATTTCATTTGACAGGTCCCATGGATTCAAATAAGTAGATCAAGATCATTGATCTTATCTGTTCAAGTGGAAGCTTTTGCTGCTGCTATTACTGTTGGAGTGTATGTTTGCCTTCTGAGCTTATCATAATGAGAATGTTTGTAGATCTTGTTATGTGGATATTGAACAAATTCTCAAGGAGGATGAAAATCCATTTTTCCTTAAAAAAGCCTTGACCTGTGGGGTAAGACAACCCTGGGCATTGCATTAAGACAGCCCACCTACTGTTATTCAGTATTATATCATAGTAGTGGTACATATAACATTATTCTGTCATTGCTGTGCTGTGTTGGATTTTACACTGGATTGTGACACTTGGCACTCGCTACTCGGATTCACAGCCTTACTAAGTAATCAACAATTAAGTCGAGTCAATACTCTCTGTCCCAATAAAAAAGAAACAAATTAACAAGGATTACCCTGCTTCAATGGTTCTTAACAGTTCTTTTTTAAAAAAAATCTTTCTTCCTTGTCGATAGTGCTGCATAGTCTTTTCCTTTTCATTTTACCTCCAATATAAACTGCAGCTTGGCTTTGACTTTATCTACACCTTAATATCTAACAGGAGCACATTTGTTGTCACAGGCTTATACATCTTGCGCTGTTGGCTTTCAACATTGCAATGTTGCATATCTTGTCACGTCTTGGAAAGAAAGGGGATTCAGTCTTTGCAAAGAAAGAGTACACACGAGCTGTCATTTTGGTGTCCAGTCAGGTCAGTCATCATCACTAAAATAAACAGAAAGCTTGTAAATGACACTAACCAAACTCCTGCAGGCGACCATGTGGTTGCCTGTCTGATATTGCCTCAAGCTCGGGACCAAGGTGTTAGCAACTGTGTACCATCATGCCCTGGATTTGCAGTTTAGTGTGTAGTTGTATGAAGTGGATGGTCTAGAGGGGCCTTCCAACAAATTGAACTTATGCAGAATCCAAGCTATTTAAAATGATCTTTTATCTCCTAACTTATCCTAAATTTGAATTACCAACTTAACGGGCAAGGCATAGCATAGTCAAGCGGCCAAGCCATTGACAAGTGATTGTAATCAGTTATTCAGTTTTGCTAGCTGAACGTTAGCATGCCAACTATGGGAGGATGAGGGTATGCTTTTCTCTTCTGGGATTGTCTATGTTATTACAGTACCGTTTAATAATTGATTAAGGGTAAATTTCAGAATTTTATGGTAAATAAACACAACTTCATATTTTTATTGAGACGAGAAACAAATGGGAAAAATGCCTTTACTAGAAAAGGCAGACAGGAAAATTACTGCCCATTTGGCCGGGTTAGTGTTGACAGAAACCGATCTAATTGGGCAGTTGGCATGCTTCCCGTAAAGTTTGCTACGTTCTTCTATCCATTACTGGGCCAGTTACCGCAAGAATGTCTACTGGCACATGCCTGTTACTAGATTTGAAGCAACTTGGAAAACCTGCTTGGAATGGATCCATTTGAGGGCTTGTTTGGATACCCTCGTATCTACCTCAATCCACATGCGTTGAAGTAGATTGGGGTGGAACTTAGACTTACACCTCAATCCACTTCAATACATGTGGATTGAGATGAATACGAGAGTATCCAAACAGGCCCTGAATCAAATTTTTTATTGAAGTTGTTCAAAAACACGAGTAGCTAAAAGTGAAATTGCTATTCTGCTTTTTTTCCTCAAACATGCAGGATAGCTGTGTGCCATTGTATTAAGATAAGAAAAGTACGAGATGCAAAACCGTTTGTGTGCATGGAAAACAAGATGATTTGTTATTCTGCTCTCATGACATCAAAATATTTTGTCTGACTTTCTTCTTATTCCTGTAGAAAACATTGCCAGTGATGATAACTGTGGTTGAGCAGCTTGGAGGAGCCCTTGGGGAGCCCGGACTTCTAGTCATCCCTTGTGTTTTTGCACACATTAACCAGGTTCTCATTGCAAAGACATAATTGCTATGTGTCACTTGCATTCTCCGGTGGGGTCATTTTTAATGTCCAAAACACTCTGCAGATCATTGTCGATTCTATCATAGTAAATTGGTGGCGCAGGAGGGATCAACAGTTTAGTAATCCAAAGTAACTCCGTAATTCAATTTTGGCGTGCAAAACAGAGAATTAGTCAGGAATTGCAGACTGCAAAGCTGATTTTGTGAAGATGTAATTGTACTTGTCCTCCAGCAAGTCCAGTAATGGACGAATTGCTGACTGCAAAGCTGATTTCGTGAAGGTCATTATATGTCTCGACTTCAAAGCAGGAAAATGGATTAGGACCTGTTTGGATTTCCTCCTCTAAACTTTAGAGCTAATACTCCAAACAAGTGGTCTAAAGTTAACTCTAAACTTTATCCCACCTCACATTAGAGCTTTAGAGCTCAAAAGTAAGCTAAAGTGCTCTAAATCTTTTAGACCTGTAAAGTTTAGAGAAAGGGAGCCAAACAGGTCCTTAATCTCCAATCGACAGCCTTGTCTTTCGAGGCGTGAATGGGTGCTGTTGTAGTGGATGTTATGTTTTCCTTCACTTCTAAAACTGAGATGTTATATTTTGTTCGGATGAACCTATTCAAACTTATATTTTGTATTTTTGTTCGGATGTAACCCGTTCAAGAGGCGGTTTGAGAGCATGACCCCGAAGGGGAAGGGAAAAAAAGACACAGAAGGAACAAGTATGACTAGGCCGCGGCAGCTTACTTTATCTTGTTTTGGTCCTTTTCGATGACTGGTGTGAGGTCCGCTGATACATGCTGGGCATGCTGCCCACACACAGAGAGGTACCGCTTGTTTTGCTTACAGGCACCACGCGGCAGCCCGAAGTGCATTGTGGGTGCTTTTGGCAACAAGTCACAAGACCGAGTCAGAGCGCTCGTTGTTCAGTCTTGAGTGGCGACAAGTCACAAGATGAATAGTGTTCAGTTGTAGCAACAATTGTGCCATGAATATTTTTTCCTTTTTCTTTGCCAAGGTGGACGCATCGCATGTGTGGTGGTTTGGAAAGCCATACAAGATTCTCTTAGAACGACCCAAATGTGGAAAATAATTTATCCAGCTAAACATACTCTTAGCATGACAAATGACAAAGAAATATGATAAATATCGGTGGTATCAATAAAACACAAAAGAGGACCGACTACCATTGTCCCTTACTGTTTTTTTTTTGGTGGTGGATCTTGATTTTTTTCCTCGACAAGTATAGTACAGATCTCACACAATCTCTATAAGTATATTAGGGATATCTTAAGGTTAACAAAGTTGTCACAGACGATTTCACTATGGATAACCACATTTACTATCACTAGAGAAATTAGTTAAATTTGAGCATCAAACTAGATAGGAGGCTTCGCTGAATAAGTAGGTCTCCACTATAACAAAATATCCACGCTCAGTTGGCCTTGATGGCTAAGTTTGCTTGATTACGCACTTGTGGTTAGAGCACCTGGGTAGCATCCAGCAGGCCTGGGTTCGACTCCCATGAGAACGAATTTAAACAGGTCTGGAATAAAAAATATATAAAAAAATAGGTTGGGGTTCCCCTACTGACTTCGGTCAAATAAAGTTTGCTTGATTACGCACTCGCAGAATGTTTTGAACTTGATAGGAATTCAAGGCTCCACATAAACGCTATAACCAGTCCAAATTTAGGTTGAGCAAAATCTATGCCCCTCTTTGGTAGTGTTCCAGACGGATCTAGCTCTCTCTTCAAGTAGCTAGTGAATCCAAGGTTTTTAGGTTTCGTTGGTCTCTTAGTGTGAAGTGTGAACTATACTGTCGGAACTTTACTCAGCCACAAGGCCTATACGGCTATACCAGTTGCGTAGGATTGTGCATATATAAGAGCCCGGATATCTTTTTTTCCAATCTTGTTATTATTGTTAAAAAAAAGGAAGCAGCTAAAATACGGCCGGCCGTAATTTGGACTATCCGCACGGCCTTACCGTTTTTAGTAAATTAGAACTGTTATATCCCTTTTTCAGCAACAATGCTAATTGCTGGATTGTGTTGGCGCACGGAAGAAAAGTTTTTCCGCCGTTTTCATGCAAGCTTATTGGCTTGCGCGGCCCAGGCCCAGATACTGACCACGGTTATTGTGGAAAAAGCAAATCAGGCCCAGACGCGGACGCGCGTGTAGCGCAGTGGCAAAGCTCCGGTTGTGGGAGCTGGCCGGCCGGGTTTCGAACCCCGGTTATGCACCGCTTGCTTCGTGCAAGCAAGTAATTTCTAAGCGTCTCCCTCTCTCGCGTGTTACCACAATGGAATCGTCGTCGCCTACGAAATCAGATGATTGAAATCAGATGATTTCGCTGATCTCAAAAAGAACGCGATCTTTAGATATGAGTGTAGACATGCGTGTGCACAAACAAATGTTACTGCTGTACCCAGATGAGAGGCAATAAAAAAAAAATCAGGCCCAGACATATGCTTTTAGGTACTGCAGGTACACGTTCAAAAACGGGGCAATTTGTATTCAGAAAAAAAATACATGCAGTAAGCTTCCCATCTCAGAAGAACACATTTTGCATCTGCAGTTTTCTAGAGCACAGCGCTATACATATAGTCCCTAGGAAAGCACGCATTTGCACAACTTCTCTGTACATGGCCTACATCGTGTCTACATGGCTTGCATCCTGTATGTTAAAACAAGGATAACATGTCATAAATTTGTTGCTAGATGGAGATAAAAAAGGATGCATATGTTAAAAAAAAAATCAAAACCTTATGTTGCCTATTTGAGAAGACATTATTGTCTAAAAGTAGTAGTATTATTGCTTAATTGAGGTGCCTATATTGCCCAAATCAATATTGTTATTGATGTCTTGTGTTAAAAACAGAAATATCATTGCACTAACACATTATCTTTTCATTGTAGGCGACAAATACCACAAGCGTTATGGACTTGAATAACCCACCACCAGAATTTGACTATGATTTCTTAGATACAATGTTTCAAGAGCCAACAGATGCAGCTGAGCCAATATTTTGCACTCAGCAACTACCAAAACTAACAGGGTGTACCAAACGAAAATTGAGAACACTGACTGAAACTAAACAAACTACAGGCCGAGTTCACATCAATTTCGGTCCAATTGAACTGCTACTGGTAAACTAAAAACTGCAGAGACACATTACCTGAACTCCTTAACTGTTGTTGGACAGCTGATGTTTCAGTAGAACTGCTGCTACAAAATTACCAAGCACTAAAAAAGAGCTAGTAGGTCAGACAAAAAGATAAATAAATCCATACAAACACCAAGCAGCTGCAAAAAAGAACAACATGGCAAGCCGCTGATCAAACCTGAAGAAAACAGAGCTAAGCTATGCAGTGCCAAAATGCTGCTTATGCTGGAGGTGCTAGTTGAGGCTGCAGGTGCTATGACCTGCAGAAAACTGGAGCAACCAATCACTGGAGAAAAGCAAGGATCCGAAAAAAAAACACAGCAAGCTGCATTTTCTTAGGCAATGCTGTAGTGGATTGCATTTTCTTAGGCATTTTAAGTCTCATTTGTTAGGCAACAATGTCTTCCTTAATAAGCAATTTATGTATTCTGAAAAAGCAAGTATAGTGTTTGTGTTCATTTGCAACCCACAGCCCTACCCCACCCCCACCCCCACCCCCGGTTTATTTGCAAAAAAAAGTAGAGATTCGATTAAAAGAAGTAGGTGCCTAACTGACATGGTTCTAAAATCCAACCCAATCATCCTCCAAAAATATAAATTCCTCTCTCACCACAGATGTACTTATTTACATATATTGCACACATCATACCTGCTTTGTGCTTTGTACTTGATCTCCCCCTGCTAGATAACTTGGAACCTGAACAGAAAAAACAGAGAGATTACAGAAGAATGATATAAAATTGCCTAATCATTTGCATTATTTTGCCTTGATCTTGCCACAATATTGCCTGGTCAGAGTATATTTAGTTGCCTATTCCCAATGAAGTTCAGTAATTAATCAATGCACATGTAGTCACATCAATTAGTGGTATCATGCTAATTGGGAGAATTTTTGCTAACTTTGTGGAACTAATCATGACAGTAAGTGGCACAATTTTTGCTAGGTTTAAAAACATGGATGCAAAGTAAGTCAAAGCTGTAAATATTAATATGTGTCAGACTGATCATAAGATGATCTGTCTCATTTAGAATGCACAAACCACAAGAAGCTAGGCCCGACTTTGATTAATTTTCATCATTGATATTTGAAATGTGTGAGCGCTTCATATTCATTGTCATTTAATTTGTTTGTAAAGAAAGCAACGCAGCATCCAATTCTAAGATAACAGAAATCACCAGGTACAAATATCTTGGATGCCTCCTTTAGAGTTCCCAAATCAGTTATATCTTTTGCCTGCGAACAAATATTTGTGGAACATCATTTAGAAATGGTCATGCGCAGACCATATAAAGTTCCTTCATGGTGAGCAAATCAGTGTCAGCATCAATGCATCTGATAATATAGGCCTTATTAATTGACTCTTTCTTTACAAAGAAGGTTTCGGTCATACTCATACCTATGCTAGTATGCTCTTGCCAAAGGGCGCCTAGCTCAAACGGTTAGGTGACCCTGCGGCATTCCTCAGGTCCTGGGTTCGACTCCCCGTGGGAGCGGATTTCAGGCTGAGGTTAAAAAAATCCCCTCGCCCGTCCCCAAGTGCCAAAGCGCAGTGGAAGGCTCCGGCCCGGTTCTCACAGGGTTACGGCACCTCCTGCGTCAGGATTGGGGCGGGGGTTCGGGGGTTTTCTCGATCTGTGTGAGAAGATCTTCTTCTTAACGGAAAACCGGGGGGCCGTCATAACCCCCCGCAGGTCGAGTTTTTTTTTATGCTAGTATGCTCTTTTATTGTTAAACGCTCAAAACTCAATAAACTTTGAAAATTCATCGCACTAAAAAAGTAATAAGAGCAAGTTCAACTGATGATATAAGTGCTCTTATTTATATAGTAGTCACTGACCAA